GAAGACGTAATGTGTTTGTGCTAATTATGGCCAAAGAACTCCAAACGAGTTAACAGGAACAAAAATTTTTACCGCTGTTGCCTACTCGCCCGGGGTGGCTTTATACTTTTGAAACAGGGGAGTTTTTCAAATTTTCTTATGGAACCGTTTCTAGCTTATAGTGGTTTGTACAACAAAGTTTACTATAGTTTCAGAGCGTGCTGAATTCGATAAACTATTCATCAAATCACGGAACCTTCATTCTAACTTGGAACAGCTTCATTCAAGGGTGGCTTTATACTTTTGAAACGCACTGTAGTTTTTCTGAGGTTTCATACCACTCGTCGTCTTATGTAGCCTTGGACACATTTTCCCAGGAGGACATCTTTTCATGTTGATTATTCATACCCCTCAAACTTCCTTATCCGCACCGCTGTTGTCAGTTTAACCCTTTCGGCCCTGGCGGTGGCAATTGCCACCACCAAATTCAAACGCTTGCATTGCCGCTGAAACAGCATGGTTTTTCTAATCCTGCTAGAGGTTGCTTCAGTCAACCTTCCCCTTCCTAATTATGAGCTAAACCTGCCATTTCATTGTGTGTTGCTGTTAGTATTACAAGTATTTGTGTACAAGTGCAACAATGAATGGGCGCTGACCCCCGCAACCGGGGGTCAGCGTCGACCAGGCTTCTGCAGCCTTCCCATCTGGAATGGTGCCTCTCTCCTCCTCTACTCCAAATGAAGCATTTTCCAGAAGAATGTCCACTTAGGTCTCGAATAAATCTATATGAAATGTTATGTTTACGAATTCATGGATAATAAATAAATGTTTGCAATATTATGATAATTGATTTGCTTTTTCAATTGATTGTCGTTTTACCTTACCAGCAAAGATGTCTGGGTGGTGTGCCGAACCCCAAGCGGTCACCCTGAATGCGATCACATTGCACTCATCCGCGGAGTTATCGCACATAATTATTCTCACACCTATGGTGCAAAGATCTGGCTTTGTACCACTATTTACCACCCGAAGAGATTCTAGAAATCTACAAGCCGTCGGTTTACAACCTATTTTAATTCATACAGTCATCCCGAACACCCTCAAACCTCATATGTTTCGAATTTGCCTGCATCACCTATCGCCCAGCTGATATCATGCTGTTGAGCGGCGCCACCAAGC